GGAGTAAAGTTGTAGTGACAATGGAACATACTGCAAAAGTGAGGACCTAATTAATGATTTTAGACCAATTTTGGAGCAACTTTTAAAATTTGTAAAAAATTCCATTTTGATCGGAATCAGGGGAAACTTTCTAAACATCATAAGAACATGCATATGTATTAGGAAAAATTATTTAAAAGGAAATTTTTCTCCTTTTTATTTTTGGCGAAATTTGGCCAAAGACCCTGTACTGTAGTACAGGGACTTTGGTCCAATTTTGGAGCAACTTTAAAAAATTGTAAAAAATCTAATTTTGATTGAAATCAGTTCAAACTTTCTACACAACATAAGAACATGTATATGCATCAGAAAAAATTATAAAAATGGAGAATTCTCTCCTTTTCATTTTTGGCAAAATTTAGCCGAAGACCTTGTACTGTAGTACTACAGGGACTTTGGCCCGATTTCGGAGTAACTTTATAAAATCCATTGTAATTGGAATCAGTTCAAACTTTTTATGTAACATGACAAACATGTATGTGTATAAGAAAATGTAATAATTCTCTCCATTTTCATCTTCTTTTGCAACAGAATGGTGGAGCAAAGATCCTTAAAAACTGCACTCTACCTCTCACTGGAAAGAACTGCGTCAATACCATCATCACCGATATGGTTAGTGGGCGGGGCATTTAATCACCATAGCAACCACTCTTTTATACAGTGTGTGTTTGAAGTCGACAAGGATAAGGGTCTGAGACTCATTGAAATTGCCGAGGGGGTCAGTCTTGATGATATAAGAGCTTCAACTGAAAGTCCATTTGAAGTGAGACTTTTAATTATTTTTTAATTGTTATTAATTTTTTCTTTTTTTTAAAGGTTGCTTCAGATATTCAACCAATGAGACAGATTTGATGCGTAATATTTAAGAATTATTGTTATTATTTATTTTATGTTTTTTTGCAAAAGTTAAGCCACATATGTTCTTACATTCCAATTATGTATCACAGCTGTGCAATAAATTACATTATTATTATTATAGTTATCATAATTGCTGTAACTATGTAACTATTATTATTAGGAGCAGACGTAACATGGTCGTGTTACTAAGTAGGATTTCCCCCGAGTTTAAAATGGCTGCCACGACTTTTTCAGCCTTGCTATACTGGAAAAATTAGCACCAGACTTCTTAGAGGACCTTATTTTAAGCAATTGTACCACTAGTATGGTTTAAAACTTTTCTGTATTAAAGGCTCATGTGTATATGTAGAGTAGGTATTACCAGTGGATCATATTGATGATACATGTATATGCATGTTTGATTTACACTTATTCTTTATCATATATTTAGATCATAATATTTGTTTATGCGTCCATAAACTTTCAGTGTTTAATATCTTTATCTATGATGTTGTACTGTACTAGCATGTTTATGTTGATGAAGGGAAATGGATGTGTGTGTGTGACCTTAATATTTTGTGAAAATACAAGATTTTGTTTGAAGGGTAATTTCTGCTGGGGTTGTAGTCTTGATATTTCTATTTATTAAAGGCTTATGTATATGTGATGTGTTTATTGTATTACCAGTGGATCATATTGATGATACATGTATATGCATGTTTGATTTACACTTATTCTTTATCGCATGTTTAGATCATAATATTTGTTTATGCATCTATTAACTTTCAGTGTTTAATATCTTTATCTATAATGTTGTACTGTACTAGTATGTTTATGTTGATGAAGGGAAATGGATGTGTGTGTGTGTGTGACCTTAATATTTTGTGAAAATACAAGATTTTGTTTGAAGGGTAATTTCTGCTGTGGTTGTAGTTTGTTTTATACTTTAAAAAAATAATATTTATAAAAGCTAACAATTTGCTATCTCACACTAGATCTATACTGAATAAAAATACCATATTTAGTACAGTATACTATAATCCCCTACTGTAATGTACCAGACCTATTATGATACTTTGGGAGTGAGTATACTATGACTTCCTACTGGAGTAATCTGATATATGGTAGTCTGGTAGTATTTGAACTGATGGTTGTTGTGATAATGACATTCTTAATCACATTATTGTAATGAGCTACTCTCCCTCTCTTCATTTTAGCATACCACATTCTAGACATTACGAAAACAACCTTACTCCCTCACTCTCTCTTTTCTATTTGACTGTATTTATCATAATCACTGCTAATATACATAATTATACTCTAATAGATTCATTTTATTTGTGCTATAACACATTATCAATGTTTATTGTCACTGAATGCTTTTAATTATCACAAGACAGTTCATGTTTTGGCAATAGAATAACTGACTACTATCAAACTGAATGCACATGTTTTGTAAAGGAAGGGAAGTTGTCATGTGTTCTTAGTAGAGCCAACATAAACTTTCAATGCATATATTACTCATGTGAGTTGTTATTTATAGCCCATAAATGGGAAGAAACATACTCATACTATTTATACATACCAAGCATGCCATTGGATACTGTTCATATCTTCTTGTGTGTGTCTATTCTTTGAAGATGTTGAGGACATTGCTTCTTCTTGCTGGCTTCCTCCTGTTGAGAGTTGAAGGACAAACTCCTCCTGCTTTGCCTAATAATAGTAAGAAATAAGAATCTGTAATTGGTTACTCACTTGATGTAGGTGTTCGGCTGTTTCTACCTTATGAGGACAGGGCAATACCTGATTACTCTATGATATATGCTAGACAGTTTTATAACGTTGATCAGAATAATGATGTTAATAATATCAATGATGCTTTGTGGTGTCAGAGTGCTAACAATGTCTCCAATATTGGAGTGTGGTATTATCCTAATGGAACTGAAGTACCTCTATTTGATGGAAGTTTCACTGATTCATCAGCTCCTAGTCCAGTGTTCAGTAAGAGATTCAGTGGTCAGATTGCACTAGCTAGAAGAGCTGGAATATCAGGATATGAAGGTTTATACAAGTGTGTCATTCCTGATGAGAATGGAGTGAATCAAACACTAGTGGTTGGAGCATATACTGATACTGCATACAATAACAATGGTATGTGATGAATATAGACTATAATTAATGTACTTCTTTCACAGATGGTCCTGATACTGATCCTACTATGCAGTTCTCTCTCCTCTCCACTAGTAGATTAGCTACTCCTCCAGTCTTCAGTCTCAGTTTCAATGTCTCTGATGGTCCTCCTACTACTGTCAATTGTTCAGTGAATGGGACTGGAATATCTACTGAACTGTCTCGTGTGATAATGAATGGATCAGGATCTGTTACAAGAGTGACAGTAACAGTGAGACTGAGAGAAGCTGGTAACTATCAGTGTACTGTATCTAATGACAGAGTAACTGCTGGTAATATTAGTGGTGTTACTGCAGTTAATAGTACTTCATCTTTGATTGTATCAGGTTTGTGATTATTATCAACAATTAGTATTATTATATTTTCAGTATCTGATACTCCAACTAGTTTAACTGCTACAAGATTAAGTACTGGTTTAGCTCATGTAAGACTCTCCTGGTCTACTGTATCAGGAGCTACTGGTTATGAGGTCTACTATCAACTGTCTAGTAATACTTCTGTTAGTGTAGGCACTACTGCTTCAACAACATTCAATATAACATCAGGATTGATTGAAGGAAGTACATACACTTTCTATGTAGTATCTTATGGATCAGCTTCTCTACCTAGTGGTAATGCTTCAGTTATACTTATAATTAGTAAGCTACAGTATTTTGTAATAAATCAAATTAGCATAATTTGCGAATTTCTAGGTTATCCAGAGGTTAATGATTTCACAGCTACAGAAATTACAAGTACTCCCATTGCATTAGCATGGAGTCCACCAACTGATGTAGTACCAACTAGTTATAATATTGTTACTAATTGTAGGAGAGTATGTGAATCATCATTCACTAGTACTAATGAAACATCAGTTACATCACCACATACTTCAACTGGTATACCTCCTTACAGTCTATGTACCTTTGATCTTATTGGAGTATATGAAGATGATACAGTAGCTTTCAATGCTAGTACTGTAGCTACACCCTTTACTGGTATGATATCAAAGTAGTATTATTATATTCATATTCCTATAGCCCCTACTGCACCAGTGGGTGATATTATATTCTCATCAGTAGAGTCAGTGTCAATGACTGTCTCATGGGATGAAGTACCTTGCAATGGAAGGAATGGACCAATCACTGGATACTACCTCACATACACTAACATCACTTCAAACACTAGTTATACTATTAATATCACTGGAGGAGACAACAGAATGTATAATCTCACAGGATTAATACCATATACTAACTATACTGTGAGTATAATACCTTATAATTATAATATGAATGGACCAGCTAGACGAGAAATACAATTAACTGCTGAATCAAGTAAGTCAATGAGATATTGATCAGTTTAACATGATCTTAACACAGTTCCTGGTGTGGTATCTGATCTAATACAAACAAATGCTGCACTAACTGAGATCAGTATCTCATGGAGTCTTCCTACAATACCTAATGGTATCATTACAGTATATGAGATAAGATATAGAGAGTCTACCAGTACTGGTCCATACACTATAATTAACACTACTAACACTTATTACAGTATAGTAAGATTGATACCTAATGCTAGTTATACTATTGGAGTGAGAGCATATACTAGTATTGGACCAGGAGAATGTACTAATGAATTATTCACAACTGATAAAATAGGTAAATTTTTTATTAAAATTCACAGCATTATAATACACTATTTTTATAGCAAGTATAAGCAATTTCATTCTCATACGTCTCAACTCAACTACTGTACAAATAAATTGGCTACCCATTTTAGGGGCCAGTTACTATACCATTTATTACAGCAGTGGGTTTGATATTGGCTCAATAAATGTTAGCAATGAAACAAATCAAAGTATCATATCAGGACTATACTCATGCCTCAGTTACTCATTTGAGATGTCAATGACTGTAGAAATAAATGGAACTCATTACAAAGGACCTAGAACTGAACCAACAGGTAAAATAATGATAAAATATGGAATGTTAAGCTGTTTAAATATTTTAGTTATTTCTACAGAAGTACCAACAGTGGGTTCATGTTCAACTTACACTTCAAAAACAATAAGTAATAATCATGAGTGTGTTAATAATATATAAATGTTTACCTTACCGTCCTTTCAGTTTTAATGTGTGGTTGTTGAATGTACAAATTGGCAACAACTTTTTTACTTTCAATTCCTATTAGATTCTATATAAAAAAGCATATCATAAACACATCCATTTTGCATGAAGCAAATCAAAATAAAAGCCACTAAAAGCAAATCATTTTTGTTGTTATACAAATAGCAGGCACTGTAGAGTGATATTTAATATTTCTTACTTTAGCTATGACATCTCCTACTTCAACACCGAGTGGTGTTTTCAGTGATGAATTCATAAACATATCAACTTTGTATGTATGTCCACCACTACTGGGTATCTCTTTATTTATTAACATGATATTTGTGTGTGTGATGATTGGAATGTGCTGTAAGAAGAAAAAGGTAGCTTATAATGTCAAGTAAGAGATAGAGAGAAGAGAAGAGTGAGGGGGAATAAAGAGAAAGAAACATAGAGAAGAAAAGAGTACAAATCAGCTTAATTTTTCGTATATTCTTACTTTTTCAGTGCTACCGGTACTATAAGGCCCATCAAATTAAAAAAGGATCCAGTACACAACTATGCTGTCATTGAGTAAGTATATAAAGAATAAACATGATAAGAATCACTGCATAATAATACTGTCATAACAGGCCCCCAGTAATTCAAAATCCACAAGAAGTCGTATACGATTCTCCCTTGGAATTGTCATCATTTGAACTTCAACCGAGAATTCAACCTCCACCCACCCACTATAGAGTAATGGCAGAACAAGAAAATCAGCAATGATAAATTTTATATATAAAACTCCATGCACTAGCTGTGTTTGTTGGTATAGGCACATCATTAGATTGCAAGTAGCTAATATAAAGTTGTGTGTACTATTATTATCTACAGCTATTTTTCATGTACAATTAAATCTTTGCTTGCATCAGTGCATTACATTGTGTAACAGAACTGCCCTAGATCCAAACAGTAGTATCCTTTAGGAAAATTAGTATGAGCTATGTACCATCAAACTGAATGTATCAGTTTTATAAAGGAAATGGGTATGTGAGTTAAACAACAACACATATAGGCTATGTACTATTTCTTCTATGAAGATGTTGAGGGCATTGCTTCTTCTTGCTGGCTTCCTCCTGTTGAGAGTTGAAGGACAACAACCTAATAACCTGCCTAGTAATGGTAAGAATATAAACTTAATGATTTTTATTGGATTAATTTCATGGACGGCAGGCACTCAATTGTACCTACCTCGTGAAGACAGAATAATACCTGATTACTCTATGATATATGCTAACCAGTTTTATGATAATGATCAGAATAATGATTGTATTAATGATGCTTTATGGTGTCAGAGTGCTAACAATGTTACTAATATTGGAGTGTGGTATTATCCTAATGGAACTGAAGTACCTTTATTTGATAGACCCTTTGATGATAATTCAGCTCCTAGACCAGTGTATACAGTGAGAGATTCAGTGGTCAGATTGTACTAGCTAGAAGAGGGTCACTATCACGATATGAAGGTTTATACAAGTGTATCATTCCTGATGAGAATGGAGTGAATCAAACACTAGTGGTTGGAGCATATACTGATACTGGATACAATAACAATGGTATGTGATGAATATAGACTATAATTAATGTACTTCTTTTACAGATGGTCCTGATGCTGATCCTACTATGCAGTTCTCTCTCCTCTCCACTAGTAGATTAGCTACTCCTCCAGTCTTCAGTCTCAGTTTCAATGTCTCTGATGGTCCTCCTCCTACTACTGTCAGTTGTTCAATGAATGGGAATGGAATATCTACTGAACTGTCTCGTGTGATAGTGAATGGATCAGGATCTGTTACAAGAGTGACAGTAACAAACTTAACTGAAGCTGGTGACTATCAGTGTACTGTATCTAATGATAGAGTAACTGCTGGTCCTATTAGTGATAGTAGTGATAATAATAATCCTCCTACTGCAGTCAATAGTACTTCATCATTGAATGTATCAGGTTAGTGATTATTATCAAGAATAATAATAATTATTGGATATATTTCCAGTATCTGATACTCCAACTGGTTTAAATGCTACAAGACTAAGTACTGGTTTAGCTCATGTAAGACTCTCCTGGTCTACTGTATCAGGAGCTACTGGTTATGAGGTCTACTATCAACTGTCTAGTAATAGATCTACTCCTGTCAGTGCAGGCACTACAAGTGCTTCAACAACAATCAATATAATATCATTGATTCAAGGACATGCATATACTTTCTATGTAGTATCTTATGGACCAGCTTCTCTACCTAGTGGTAATGCTTCAGTTATGTTAACAATTAGTAAGTTAAGTTATCATACAAAAAATTATTATTTTTGTATTTATATAGGCGATCCATTAGTTCATGACTTTATAGCTACTCTAGTTACAGCTTCAGCCATTACATTAACATGGAGTCTACCAACTGCTGTAGTACCAAATAGTTATAATATTAATAGGAGATGTAGGAGAGTATGTGAATCATCAGTCACTAGTGATAATGAAACATCAGTTTCATCACCAGATACTTCAACTGGTATACCTCCTTACAGTCGATGTGACTTTGATCTTATTGGAGTATATGGAGCTGAGACAGCTAATTTGACGAATTATTCTGCTATTACACTGTCTTCTGGTAAAAAATAATTTTAGTATTTTTTATTTTTCTTTTTTCCTTTAGCTCCTACTGGACCAGTGGGTGATATTATATTCTCATCAGTAGAGTCAGTGTCAATGACTGTCTCATGGGATGAAGTACCTTGCAATGGAAGGAATGGACCAATCACTGGATACTACCTCACATACACTAACATCACTTCAAACACTAGTTATACTGTTAATATCACTGGAGGAGACAACAGAATGTATAATCTCACAGGATTAATACCATATACTAACTATACTGTGAGTATAATACCTTATAATTATAATATGAATCGACCAGCTAGACAAGAAATACAATTAACAGCTGAATCAAGTAAGTCAATACTGTCAATGGGATATTGATCAGTTTATCATAATTCTAACTCAGTTCCTCCTGGTATCATATCTAATCTGATACAAACCAATGCTAGGTTGACTGAGACCAGAATATCCTGGAATCCTCCTACAATACCTAATGGTATCATTACAGTATATGAGATAATATATAGAGAGTCTACCAGTACTGGTTCATACAATATAACTAACACTACTAACACTTATTACAGTATAGTAGGATTGATACCTAATACTAGTTATACTATTGGAGTGAGAGCATATACTAGTATTGGACCAGGAGAATGGACTGATAAAATTGTATCAACTAATGTCATAGATATAGGTAATGTTCAATTGTAAATTCATAATTATAGATCTAACATTATTTACTTTATAGCAAAAATTAGTAATTTCACTGTCATACGTCTCAACTCAACTACTGTACAAATAAATTGGCTACCTATTCCAGGGGCCAGTTACTACACTGTCTATTACAGCAGTGGGTGTGATGATGATTCAATCAATGTTAGCAATGAAACAAATCAAAGTATCATATCAGGGCTGTGCTCATGCCTCAGCTATTCACTCGAGATGTCAGTGACTATAGAAATAAATGGAATTTATTACAAAGGACCTGGAACTGAACCAACAGGTAAAGTAATGCTTTAACTGTCAAATGCTAAAATATTATAGTCACAGAGCTACC